GATAATTTATTGTTGCTCATTTCTACATTACTTTTACCTACAATACTAACGGCAATAGCTTTGGATTATTTAGTAAATATAGTGTCTTATCAATTATTTCATTATTTCTTTATTGTTTATTATTTGTGTTACAAAATTGACATAATTAACAAAGTAATTACATGGGATCTGGATTATTTTAATGGCAAAACTAAACGGGTTTTACTGATACGAAAAATTATTCATGAATTAAACGCAATATATCTGGAAATTAGTGAATATAATACTATTTATTGGTCTAAATATTTATGTATTTCGTTTACCACCATGGGTGTAATTACAGTCTCAATGTTATACACATTATTATTTAGTTTTCTTAATATTTACATGCGATCCATAATATTGTTTGGATTTATATACTGGGCAACTTTAATATGGATATTAATTTATATATCCTCACAAATATATTACAAAGCTAATTATACGTATATATTATTGAATCGACTGTACGTTAAAAAAGATAAATATTTAAATACGAGAGAAAAACTTAAGGTTTGCTTTTTAATCATATTTATTGTATACCTATTTTATTAATATTTAGTTATTGTCAGTAATGGAGAGAATAGGTGTGAAAAGGATTGGCTTTTATTGTTGGAAACTATTCATTATAAACCAATTCAAAGGATACGAGGTTTGGCATGCTAATCCAGATCATCTACTATATAATTTATATCTAATGCTATTTTCAGATAATCTCATTGATATCGATATTATTTATTAAACTCTGTGAATAATGATACATGGGGGGGATGGATATTAATTTATATGTCCTCACAAATACATTACAAAGCTAATTATACGTATATATTATTGAATCGACTGTACGTTAAAAAAGATAAATATTTAGATACGAGACAAAAACTTAAGGTTTGCTTTTCAATCATATTTATTGTATTAAATTATTTTATTTCTATAGTTATTGTCAGTAATGGAGAGAATAGGTGTGAAAAGGATTGGCTTTTATTGTTGGAAACTATTTATTATAAACCAATTCAAGGGATACGAGGTTTTGTAATACTTTTTCTGATCATTTACTATATAACATCAATTTATATCTAATTTCTATTTTCAGATAATCTCATTGATATCGATATTATTTATTAATATCTGCCAGCAAGGTAATACTACAGTAAATGGGGAGTAATGACTATAAACCATCTAAAATATTATTTATTACATAAATATCTTTAAAAATGTTATATCGTATCATATTTTGAATAAACACTGATATTTGAGTAAATTAATCAAATCAAATTGTATAAATCAACTCAATCATCACTCAATTGGTTTATCACTATTTCAATTGCAATCTAATTATAAAAGACAATTATAGCCATTATCCATTAAATAAAGCACCCCCACTTTTACGGTAAAAGTTGTACCTAGCTTATTTTTGTTTTATATTAACTTAAACATCAATGTATATTTCATTACCAATTATTCAATTGTGAATAAACTTTGAAATAAAATTTAAATCAATATTATTTAACAAAATTTGTCTAAAACTAAATGCAATATCTTAATTTAGCAAACTTTTAATAAAATATTTTTTGTCATTAAACAATAACTATAATGTGTTTATATTCTAAAATTCATTATAGATACTGTGTCAATTAATTTGTCAACAAAAATAAACCTCTATTATCTTAAAACACTGTTATAATAATAAATAACAATAATTTTAAATAATTAAATATTAAATAAATGAAAGCTAATGTTAAGTGTAGATAAACTAGTTTATTCAACTTGTTACATTAAATGTATAAATAATGTACACATTTTGGCGCTATAAGTTTGATTTGAAAACCGGTTACAGCAATACAGTACTGTAATATTATACTGTATGTAAACAACATGTTCATTGCTAGACTAGCAATATAATGTGTTCAATTTAAGTATTGTAACTTATTTTAATTTATTAATTACCCAGAACAATCAATTTAATAATATAAAATGTGTGCCTATTTACATTCATTAATTTGAATGCCACTCAAAGTGTTACCGTATTATATGAGTCATACTGTATGAGTTCAATTTATTTTAAGTCACGTGTTCATCAAATATAATGCAACAGGCCAATGTTTAGACTAATCATAATGTAAACGTATGTTTGAAAACCTGTTTCATGTTTATTAAAATTATAAATTAATTATTTATAACGTTTAGTGACTATCTTAAATTACCTTACCGTTAATCGGTTCATAATAAACAGCGTTATATATTTATTTTGTGTTTGATCCAGGTGTAATCGTAAATGTTGTGATAATTACGGTAATAAACAGCATAAATGTATTGATTTTGAGCCCAAAAATGTGGTTAAAATGTTGACACGAAGTCGATGTCTATTTGCAATACCTGTGCCATACATGCAAAGGGAACGGCTTTTGGGTTGAGATAGGGATACAATAGTGGACACATGTGTTATCAGTGGACAGTCTGGTTATCATAACGTAATAGTGATCTCAATCTAATGCCAAACAAATGAATAGTATTTCTAATCACAACTAAAATACACGCAAACATTGACTGCATTTGTGTTGACTGTTAGTGGCGTTCATTAGGAAGTAATCGCTAATTAATACACAAAAAGTCATATTTGATGTGAAAATGACTGAAAGTGATGTGAACTCTAGGTATGTAATGGTATATAATTGATGTGTATTTTTATTAATTAAATCTAATTTGCTATCAAAACAGTTATCCCTTGACTTACGAGTCAATATGCGAGCCATTCATTGCCTCACAGTTAAGACAATTAAGACGTTATAAATGCGATTACAATGAGTGCCGAAAGGGTTTTGCAACTCAACAGCGATTGGATTTACATAAGAGTAGAAGACATGTGTCTGGGAATGACTTCCCGGTGCCCAACCGCATGCCAGCAACAGCACCGGTATTGCCTGTGCCTCAAGTCATTGCATCTCCAGTGGCAGTATTATCGACACCAGAAGTCATGACGATCCCAACCCCGGTATTGCCGGCACCAGAAGTCATGCCAACAGCACCGGCATTGCCACCAATCGCAGCACCGGTATTGCCGGCACCAGAAGTCACACCGACAACAGCACCGGCATTGCCAGCAATCGAAGTCATGCCAAACACAGCACCTGTATTGCCGGTAACAAATAATAGGAAACGACATACGAGTGGAACTCCGCCTCAAAATAAACGCCAAAAACAGTCACATACTGAGGACATACCGGCGCTCAACGCAGGAGCCACTCGTACAGAAACCACAGCACCTGATGGCAGGGAACAACATTTGGACACTGAAATACCCATCACTTCCAACACCAATGCTATTCCCAACGCTTGTCATAAGTATAGAGACAACAATTGATAATAAGAATTAGCAAATAATTTAAAATAGATTTTGTTTTCAAACAAATAGCGAAATCCGTGATGAGATGCCGGTGCCTAACAGTCCAATGAGAAAGCCAGTGCTAACCACCGGCGTCAACACTCCTGAATCACTTTTCAAGCCATTCAAATGCAATAAATGTAATATAACATTCAAAAGGGGCTGGCAGTATAGTAATCACCAACAGGCCGTCCACTCGTTGCTTTCGGGTGGTACTAATGTGTCGACTATTGATCTAACGGTGACTCCCAAAAGAAAGGCATTCCGATGTGATAATGAAAACTGTGGCAAAGAATATAAAAGTCAATTTAGTTTGAATTCACATAAACGGAAACAACATAACATTAATGGGAACATACCGGCGCTCAACACCACATCCATTGACACTCAAGTGCCCAACACTAACACCACTAACCCGTGCCTTAAGTATTAATTATTTGTTTTAAACGATGAATTGATTTGTAATTTAGTTTTATTGTTTGCTCACAAAACTAGTGAAACAAACTCTGGTATCGAAGTCATCGCTGAGCACCGGGTGTTCAGCAACACTGCCTTTACAATACCTTTTGGACCACTAGACAGAGCAGTGACCGATCAATTAGATTTCATTGAACTTTCTGGTGCAACACCTGATATCAAGAGTGTATCCCACCCTCGATACAGAGGCATATCTACTGAAAAACGAGATCCAACACACCGGGAAAGGCTTCACACACTTCATAAGTACAGGGATTCAAATGAACATCAAAACAGTCGCAAAAGTTGTGGACGACTGACTCGGAGTCCATTGAAATGCGGTTACAATAATTGCGGACAAAGTTTTGATTACGAGTCGTTGCTAAATCAGCACAAACTCATTGCACACAATATACAACAGCCGTATGTATGCGAATACGACGGCTGCGGCACAAGATTTTTCGACGCCATTGTATTCAACGCGCATAAAAGTGCTGCCCATCGGCCACCACGAGTCACGAGTGATCTACCAGTGCCTGATCCTCGCACTGACACTGAACTGGATATTAATGAAGATCTGAGTGATAGTAATACTTCTGAAACAGATGTCATTGCGTTGATAGCACCCGATGTTGAGGCGGAACAGACGGTAACTGGTCTCCCGGTGCCCACCAATTCAAACTCTACCAGAGGCAACAAATCAGTTGTTAATACAGATAATAAGTATGCGCTAATGTAATTGCTATTAATTATGGTGTATTTTAATTTAGTTTTAAATTTATTTCCCTATTAGTGGCATCAATATTTGCATTAACATTGATTTCATACCACTGGCAAACGAGTCAACCATTGCTGCAAACAATTCAAGGATTATAGCCAACAGTATTGAAAACACAAAAACTGTTCAAAAGTATGTGTTTATGAGTTAATTTAATTATAACCGTAGCACTAATTTTAATCTAACATTTAATCCGATAATAGCAGTCAACCCATGGCTGACAAACAATCCGCTAATAAAAAGGCGAAAAGTTCTCACAAATCATCGAAACCTAAACTTTCGGATCCAAACGAATTTAGGTGCGATTTCAAACGTTGTCGAAAAGTGTGCCGGCTCCAATCGCATCTAAATCAGCACAAACAAACTGTTCATAATATTAGTCCGCCATTTGTGTGCGATTACGTCGGCTGCCATCAAAGGTTTTACGATTCAAACAATTTGAATAAACACAAGCGTATGAATCATTCAGCAAATGGTGCAAAACGTGGCACTGAAAAGCTACCGGAGCCACCGAAACCGATGGACACTGGCATCGACTCTTGTCATAAGTATTAAGCAAGTTATTTAACACTAGAATTTGTTTTAATGTATTGTTTGTAATAGTGATTCAGATTCTGATATCGAAGTGATTGCTGTAATACCGGCGCCTAAGACCACAACCCCTACTACACAACAGGACAGTCCAATCGCAGTACCGGTCGATGAAAGTCGAGATATTGAGCCCTCAATACAGAGTAATACCTATACCTCTGATGGTATCTCTATGGCTAACACTAGTATCGAGTAAGTCATGTGTTCTGGGTATAAAAATCGCTTAATGCTTAATTGCAAATATTTTATCCCTAAAATAGTGCAACAAATACTAGCCATACAAACACTGCTACCACTGATAACACGCCTTCCCTCACGTGTCAATACAAGGCTTGCCTCATAAAGTTTGCTCCGATGCCTACGCCTCGTAATGACATCCATAACACTCATAATCCACTGAAATGTGACTTCAAATGTAGCGAACAATTCAAATACGAGTCGGACCTCAATAAACACAAACACGTGGCCCACAAGTGGTGCGAGCCGTATGAATGCGATTATAAAAAGTGTGGCAAAAGATTTTGCAGTATGTCTCACTTGAGTAAACACAATCATAAGGCACACGAATTGAAAGTCTCGTACATGTGTAAAGGCTACGGCGACTGTGCCAGGTCATTCGATAACGAGTGCTACCTACACATTCACCACATGTCTGAACATAAGTCACAATTAGGGCCATTTGTTTGCGGCTATAGTTGCTTTAAAACGTTTAAATCAAACGATAAGTTAATTACACATAAACAGAGACACAGTGAGAGTAATGAGACATTTAAATGTAATTATAATAATTGCAGTAAGAAATATAGTTTAGAGAATGAGTTAATTAAACACAAATTAACTGATCATGCATTTGTTTGTGATGACAATGGTTGTGATAAAAAGTTTATGACTGAAATTGAGTTGAATGAACACAAAAAACAATGCCATTCACTATCCGTCGCATTCAAATGTGACTATCATAACTGCGGCATAAGTTTTAATTCACATAATGGCTTAAACCTTCACCGAATTCACGTGCATTCAGTCGACGATAATTGTGGCAAAAATCATACCAATAGTACTGTCGGACGTACCGATTCAATGGCCAACACATTGCATAAGTATTTAAACTTCTATTTTTTGATAAATTTATTGTTTACGTGAATTTAACTAAATTATTTTGTTTAAAAAAAGTAACTCAACCGATGATGATATCGAGGTTATAGCCGTCCACCCGGTGCTCACTTGTAATACAAATGAAAACCGATTGCCAACACCGGGTGACAGTGAACCACGTGTTCCGTGCCCTTCAACGCCACCCACGTACACAAAACAATATATTAAATCGTTGAGGTATGTATGATAGAAATTAATTGTACCGGGATAAGTGTTTATATAAATTTCATGTGATGCAATATATTAAATGAATCGTATGTTGATCTACAATAGGAAGTCGACGTCTGGTTTCTATGACTGCGAGTGCGGACAAAGTTTTGCCAAAAAGCTAGCGTTTACCACACATCACATTAATGTCCATTCAATGGCCACAGATTTTAGATGCAATTATTGTGGCAAATATTTTGTGACCAAAAATAGAAGAAAGAAACACATGATCAGTGTTCACGCGATTAAAATGTTTAAATGTGATTATAAGAATTGCCGAAAAGAATGCCTTAAGCAACAAGATTTAGATAATCATAAGAAAAGTGTTCATAAAAACTAATTTTGTGTATTTCTAGTGATAATATGTTTGAAGTTTATATTAATGTTTTATTTTTGATAAATTAATGTTTTGATATTTATATTTATTATAATCGTTCTGAACTACAGTAGTGAAAGTAATACAAACATCATATGATTAAATCATTTGATAAAAACAGGTTTTGAAAGCAAAACGCATTGAGAAGGGAAACGGATTTTAGACTTATTTTCTCGTTTAGTTTTCTGTAATTTGATTTTGTTTACAATGTGTTCACAAATTAATGAATTTCTAATTAAAATGAAGTGTAATTTAAATAAGAGTTTTGAATTAAAGAGTTTGTCCCAAAGTTTACACAAAATGCAAGTGTTTTGTGTGAAGGGATTGAATGCGAAAATGCAGTGAATTTGTCAATGAATTGCAATTCAAATGATTTGAATTCATGTAAAATAAGTGATAAAATGCTTTCCAATCACAACACCATTAATACACTCAACANATCACAACACCATTAATACACTCAACACTTATCACTATTTCCACTGTTTTTGGCCTAAATGTCTCTTCAAAACTAATAGAAAACAGGAATTAATTAGACATCAATTGATTCATTCAAATGGAAAACAATTTAAATGTAATTTTTAAAATTGTAATCAAGTTTATTCATCAAGAAGAAACATATTTTGCCACAAAAATAAGTTTCATTTAAAAACAAGTTTTGTATGCGATTGGAGTGAATGTCACAAACAGTTTACACAAAAAGGGTCTTTAAATCGACACAAAACTAGTGTTCATTTGAATGAAAGGAAATTCAAATGTAATGAAGAAAATGGTGACAAAATATTTTCTACAAAAACAAATCTAAATCGACAAAAGCATACATTTTGGGTAAAAGTTATTTGTATAAAAACATTTTCATTACATTATTTTGTCATTTATTTTCTAATGAGATACAATTCACTAGTTTTATGACTGGATGATTAAGTAATGGAAAACTTTTTAATTAATTTATTTATCAGACTTACACATATAATACTTATCAACAAAAATATTAATAAAATAAATTTTTCCACTCAATTAAATAAGTATTGTGTAAATCTGGTATTTAATCTATATTTTATTTTTAAAACAAAAATTCTATATGATTTATAAAACATTTTTATATCACCATGTGAAATGTAACATTTTATAATTGATTAAAATAACATCGATAAATCTATTTATTAAGAATTATATAGAATATAACTTAAATATACATGTATAAATATTAATTGATTGAAAAATATGTGTGTAATAAAGTATTTATTATAAAATTTTAATTAAATAGAGTTATATTTATGTGTATAATTCAATTATGTTGTGTTATAAGAACTGTAATAAATTGACATTTCACATTCAAGTTAAGTTATTAATAAAATATATCAGCCTGGGAGGTATAACAAATGTCATAATTATTGATTAGGTATAGATAGCAGTGTGCTTATAAATCCTTAACTCAAGTATTAAAGTTACTATTTTCAGATTTACTCAATTCATGTGACATTAAATATAATTTTCAAACTAATTTTAAACGAAAGGTTTTGTATTCAAAATGTTAATTAAATTTGCTCTATATTTATGTGTAATACAATTGTGTTGGGAATGGGGTCTGTGTTTAGATGTGAACACAACCTCTGGTGTAGTGAGAGGACAGACCTTTCATGTATTGAATACA